CTGTAGGAAACAAGACAGCTAGCTTTTTAACAAACTGCAGAATTAAAAAACAAGTATTTATAAAATAAATTCACAAGGATGAATATTTTTTTAAAAAAACTAGTGCTGTTTCACTTATGTGGTACCTGCTATTTCAAAGCAAGAAGATTTAGAAATGAATTTAACATGAGTTATTTGAGTAGCAAGCAACCTTAAACATATAGGTTTTGATGCTTCTCTTACTGAATTTCTTGATCCCAGGCTTTTAGTTGATATCCTTCTACTTTATTGCTGTAATAGTTTCATCAATTTTTAAGTGTCTTGTGTCTAGATTTCTTGATTATTTTTGTGGAGTAATGACTGGCAAATAGGGTGAATAAACTAGTCTCAACAATTTATTTGCTCTTGGTTCTTCATTGTTATTGATGAAGGTGAATTTACCTTTTTGCAAAGGAAAGACACATTTAGCCAGTTAATTTCATGTCTTTTCATTTAAGGAGAAACATATACAACTAGAATTATACTTTTTAATAAATGATCTAATGAACAGCAGGATTCTCTGGCTGAATATGAATCATGGTTATTAATATTAATTGACATTAAATCTGCCAGTAGTGGTGGCCAAGACCACCTAAATGACATTCAATGTTTACTGTATAATATGTGTTTAACCATCTGGGAAATGTGTGTGTTGCATTTGTTTTCTAGAATGGGTATTATTTGCCTTTCTGAATTTTACTGCTGATTAGGCTAGAAGTACCAACTTTATAAGTAACTAAATGTTGATTGACACATAAGACCATTATTGACTATTGTGTAAATGAATGCACATTAAAAACTCCCTTCTCGGTTCATATTTATGCTTCAGGCTAGCAGCATTTAACCGTCTAGGAAAACAATACACATTAGGATAGCTGCCATAATAAAGGAAATTTACCACATCTTTACAAAAGACATTGAGAACATTTATTAGGTGGAAGAATTTTTTGTTACCTAAGAGCCACTGAAAAGGCTGCAAAAATGAGCTCCTGGTAAGGCTGACAATATGGGCAAGTGGCTGGGATGACTTGCTATATGGTCCCAATGCTGCCTCCAGGGAAAATGACTTTGGAGCGTGATTTCAATAAGACACTGTAAGCTTCAAAACGTCGCTGGATTCTGAACTCTAGTGGCATTCAAGCTATTACAATCTAATGTATAGTATTTGCTCACACCATGTTCGATGGATATATATGCATGGAGAATTAAAACAATGAGACCAGACCTGGTGCCCGCACATCCACCTTCCACACAATTATCTGACTTTGTTATAGTACTTTAAATTTGGTTGAGAATTGGCTAGCATCAAATTAGTCGTCTGAAAATAGACACAAACCAAGCCAGGATCCTGACCTTTTCTTTCTCGTTTATAATGGCTAAACAAGATGTTCTGACAGAATAAGTGCTGGAAACATCTGCCTCATAGCTGAATTCTCGTTCCTGGTGACAAAGCTGTGGGTGGCAGGGGTAGGATGTTTGTTTGGAATTGCAGCTCGTGAAGGAGTAATCTTCGTTGAAAACTTTTCCTGCCTCCAGAGATGATTTTTGTTAAGTGCCACTAGCCATTCCATGCAAAAAGGAACATTTAGAATTAACTCTGTAGATTTTATTATCTGAAGCCATGGCTGTAGAATAAGCAAATCCAGACTATTTTGGAAATACAGAGCCAGTGGTTTTCTACAGCAGCTTACTGGCACATCAAAGAGACTGTAACTCAAGGTATTACATGATTTCTACTGTGGATCCAGTCTGCTTCAATTAAAAATACTTCAACTGATAGCTTAATAAAACAATATATACAATTTTAATAGAAACAAGAACAAGAAAAGATCATGCCAGACTAAAACGATAAATCATAGCATCATCAGAATATCTGAAGTGTCTAATTTGTTTTCAACAAAGAGGTTTTTTTTTTCAGATCAAGCTATTTCTTTAACCATATTCATAGACATAAAATTGTAAGTCAGATACACCTTCAAAGATTTCTTAGAAAATATGCTTCAATAACATTTCATTATAATTAATGATGAATAACGTAAGTTCTGTTTCTCATGCAGCTACAACTATTATTATCTCTCCAAAATCTAGAGATCATTCTCAAATAGCTACCCAGATATCATTTCTGGACTGAAAGGTTCTGGGCTACCACAAGCTGGCAGCAGAGTTTTCTGTATAATTTTGCTAATATTTCATGGAATAGAAAGGCTACATTTGGTAGCAGTTATCAAAATAAATACCCATACAAAATATCCACCAAAAGACCATTCTGCAATTCATAAATTCATTCATTGGAATCTCAATTTTTTTAAATTCTTAAAAACTTGTTTTGGAGTATTTTAGCTGATAATCTTCTTAAATTATAACAATATTTACCTATGAAGTAGGGCTGTATTACTATTATGCCTCTCATTTTTTATTACCTGTCCTATTGGTATCCTATGATTATATTACTTTGTTGTTTGTATGTACACAGAAAACGTATTCACCAGAGACAAATCCCTTACGTGTCTAATTACACTTGGCCAATAAAGAATTTATTCCATTCCATTCTTTGCATGGTTGTGCAATTGAAATGTATATATGACTGATGCTTCGATCCAACAAAATTTGCTTTAAAAGAAACTGATGATCTTGAAACTGAAACTGACTGAGAAGGGGTGAGGGTGGGATTTTCTTTTTTTATTATTCTTCAGACATTTTATCACAATCCTTTTGTTTTTAACTTATATTTGGATCTGAGTTTTTCTATACACTCTTTACCTTGTCAGACACAGTTGTTTTATAATTTGAATTATCATCTTCTTTTGACTAGAATCCAAGTACCCACAATGCCACAGTCGCATGTGGGATTTACATCAGTGATGGGTTCCTACCGGTTCAGACAGTTTCGATGGAACTGGCAGCGACCCAGGCCTGCCACACCCGCTGAACTGTTTTCCGGCTCTGGTTCTCTCCATCTTGTTTTTAGCTTCTGTGCATGCACAGAACAATTTTTATTGCACTGCACATGTGCGCATCTGTGTACAAAGCATGCATGCTCGCCGTGCACACGAGCGAACCAGCAGTAGTGCCTGCCGGAACCCACCCCTGTTTTACATGTGGTTCTTACATGTGTAAAGAAAAAGAAAATAGCATCAAAGGCGCTCTGAATTTATCCACAAGCAGATAGCAGGCCATATCCATAAATATTCCAAAACTGAAGAGCAGAATAGCATAAGGAGTTTGCAGAGTCCTCAGAGTCCTCTGAAGTCCAGAAAGCACCTAGGAGATAATATCTTTGGGATAGAATGTTGTCAAAGAATAAACGGTCTCCCGCTACTAGATTAAAGCCTGGGGAGGTGAACTCACTTACAAAAATACACACAAGCAGCAGCAAGCTATTTCTGGCATTTTCAAAGTAGGAGGCATTAATCTCACAGCAACCTTCTGCTTCATTCATTCTGCTTTTTTATTGTAGTAGAATACAAAGCAAAAAACATAATTTTTGCAAAACACACGGTGCTTCACTGGTTTAATGATTGATTTACCTGACATACTTACTTTGCTTTGGTTCCTGCACAACAGTTGTAAGCATGGATTCAGCACTATCACTAAGATATAGAATCTTGTTTGGGAATTCAAATAGACGTGCTTTAAAATTACTAAATTACTCACTTTTGTCAGAATTTGTTGCAGAAAAATCAAATCCAGAAAGCACACACAGAAAACTGATTCAGCTGGATTAATTAACTTCTTTATATACATAATAACAGATGAATAAATGTACAATACCAATAGTAGATTCTTTCAATGTGGTGGAAGTTACAAGCAGCATACAAGCAGGAGAGAACAGTTAGTTTCATTTCAGAGTTCAAAGCAGATAGAGTCTTAAGTTTCTGTTTCAATTCTTTGCACAGACTCTTTGCACGCCCTGGGTCTTAACTGTTTCAGCCCACATTGGCTAACTTTGTTGCTATGCCTATTCATTGGCTGACCTTGTTATCATGTCTCTCTCAGTCATGAACATTCTAACAACTTCCAAATATAGTTTTCTAACCTATGCTTTCTCTCTAAAAGTGGCTAATTTATGTCATTTGTTGTGGGGATGGGGGTGGTCATAATAGATAGCTTATACAAAGTTTTTTATCTAGGGAAAAAGAGTAAAACAAACAGCTGGGAAGTTCATCCTGTTATCCAAGGTGACCAAATCCTTAAGAATCCTTTCAAAACTTGTTGATGGACTGTGATTTCTAAATATTTAAGAAGAGACTAATGAAATCTAGCTAATTGTTTTATTTACATTTTTACTAAATAAGTATGTGTATATTTGCCTATATTTTGGGTTGTGAGTTTTAATAATCTCTTAAAACCAAGTTTACATATTCATACATACTCAGTTACTTACTTAAAACATTTATATAGCCCTCCAAATCAACCAAGATGATAAAGCATAATGAAAAGAATATTAAGTTATAATGGATATCTTACAAACAGTAATGATAGAAGTAGATGGTCATTCAAACAGCAGTACCACCCTCATCCAATCAGGTCACTAAAGTATCATTTCCCAGGGAAAGAGTCAGGTCGTGGAAGTCTTTATATGTCAAGAGGAAGGTTGCTCCATAAGATAGAAGGCATGCATCCTGGTTCCCACAAGATTAATTGTTTCAATGAAGGTACCTGGAGTAAACCTTTTATATCAGAGCTTGTAGGGAGGGCATATACTCTGGAAAAAAGGTGGCCTTTCAAGTACTGAAACTCTATGCCATGCAGGGCTTAGAGAAAATAACTAGGCACCTTGAATTGCACTCAGATGCAATTGGGAGTCAACTATTGGTGTTACATGGGCATAGCAAGAAGCATTAATGAGTACCACAAGTAACTTGAAAGTCAGACCATAAAAACTTACTCTCAAGTTTCTATTCTGATGCCAAAGTTTATTTTCACATCTGTATCCCATTCCAATTTTATATGAAATAAACTGTGTTTTGTTGTGTTTACAGTGCAAGTTGGAATTTCATGCCTGCACATCTGGAAAAAATATTGTAGCTCGATGTGAAGGGCCTTGCCCATGCCTTCCAGGACAAGAGAGTCCAAAACACAAGACTGGTGAGTTTAATCTGTTCAATTAAGTATCAGATTTCTTAATGAATTTTACGATCCTCGTATTCTAGCAGGCCAATCCTATGCATATTTGATAAAAAGTGAGATATACTAAGCTCACTATTGTTTCCCAGAAAATAATATGATTGCCATTTATGAATTGGGTTGATAATACATTGAATATTTGGGTTATAAAAGTTGTTAATCATATTGCTCTTTTTGTTGGAATTAAGGAAAGAGGAATTAAAAAGAGATGGTTAACCAAGGCAGCATTCCAGACTCAACAACAAATACAGACTGACTCTTGGAACCTTGCAAGACTTATTAAATGTTAATGCTAGTTCATGTTAAGAGCAGTGCAGAACAAGCACTTGACAATACTTTGTACATTATCTTGTTAGTGAGAAACTGGCTTGGCAATAGAGAATGAAAAATACAACTGCTTACTTCTGGATTCTTTTATGAAATAATTGAAGTCTTTTGGTCAAAAGCCCCATCTTGGATTTCTGGTTAGCATGTCAAATAGACTTTATCTGCCAGTGATTATATTAGCTTCTGAACTGATAGACAATGATCAAAACAACACACTCCTGCATGGGTTAATTCAGCCCTAGTCTCTAACACCAATCCTACCTGTATTGGGATGATTTATTCCACCTGTCCTATATTCCAGAGTAGCCACTCGTTACAGGGAAAAAACTAAACCTAAAATACAATAGAGCTGAAATGCCTAGTTCTTTATATGCCTCCTTCATGGTGGAACTAAAAAAAAGACTTTTTGAAGATCTCAATAGGTGGATAAAAATGCCATTCCAACTGACTGTGTGATAAACCATAATAATCTGATGAGGTTGAGAACTGTGCTGGCACTTTGTATCCTACTAGAAGGGTCACCTAATACCAAACAAATCTTAGCACAATATGTGTCAACCCATTAAATATGGGGGGAGGGGGGAGGAACAGGAAAAAGAAATTTATACTGCATTGGTTCTCACCCAGGTCAACAAGGACTGCATCAGATGTTGTTGTGGCCCATTGGCTGCCAGCAGAGCTAGCTGCAGACTCAGATGAGGAGGAGATTGAGGGAGACCCTGGGCAACTCCAGAGCCTTTGAAAGACTCTGATAAGGAAACAGCAGCAGAGGCAGAAGCAGAGGCAGAGGCAGAACTGGGGTCTTTCCCCGGGTGGAGAAGCAGCTGTATTTGGAGCCTGAACTGAATGAGGGGAAGGAACAGATGGGGCCCATCCCAGATGTGGGTATTTGCAGAGAGGAAAATAGAGTTGAGCAATAAGCCAGCTCTCAAGGAAAAGCAGATGTGGACACTAGGCAGCCCCTTCCTGGCTGGGAAATATATAGTAGAGGTTTGGGAGGGGCAGACAGACAACCATTCACTTTTCGGATACAGCAAGCAATTTAGATTTCTTGCCCAGGTCTGTTGGAACTAATTACATTTTTTTCCCACATGAATAAAAGGCTGCTCCTGCCCTTTGAAAAGAAGTTTGTTTGTACTCGCAAGTAAGCAGCTTATCATTGCTTGCTAAGGCTGTGTCAGAATAGATGTTAGTTCCTGGGTATCTGTCAACAAGGGGCAGCAGAGCTCAGCAGATGTGGCTGGGTAAACAGGACCTAGCCCTGTAGCATTACTGGAAGAACAACAATCACAGACAAGATAAAAGTATACAGTGCTTGAAAATTGCACCATTATGGCCTCCTATTATAAACTGGAACCAACATATTTTGGTTGTTAAATATACCAACAGGGATATTTAAAGTGAATGTTTGAACATTGGAAAAGAATTCATCCAGACTTAAATATTACTCAACAACAATTAGCAGACCAACAGAGATTTATTACCAGAATTAAAATGTTCAAGGATGCAGAACTAGAAGAGATTCAGAAAAATTGTAAAAATTGAAGAGCCAAAAGGGGTGAACAACCAAGGCCACATGGTTCTTCTAAACAACAACAGAATGGGCGGGCATTTACAATGTGGGGGGGAACTTCATTCCAAAGGGCAGGTACTGTTACAGAGAAGATGTGCTTCCAGAGTCCCAATAGATGAGATTAAAAGCCATGGTGGCACAGTGGTTAGAATGCAATAGTGCAGGCTATTTCTGCTGACTTCCAGCTGACTGCTGAATCTCATAGGCTCAAGGTTGACACAGTCTTCCATTCTTCCATGGTTGGTAAAATGAAGTCCCAGATTGTTGGAGGCAATATGCTGACTCTGTAAACCACTTAGAGAGGGCTGTGAAGCAGTATATAAATCTAAGTGCTATTTCTATTTTTAATTGAAGGAACACAGAACATGCCAACTCTGCAGGATTGAATTAGGTGGGTAGATGTTTTGGAAAACAGGTAGTCCCTCAAATAACTGGGTCCTATGCCATGTAGGGCCCTACACGTAACAATCAACATCTTGAACCTCACCAGGAAGCTAACTGGCACCTGATGCAGCTTGTGAAGCAGAGGTACATGCCCATTACTTGTTCCACCACAAAATTCTGAACCAAGTGGTCTTCAAGAGAAACCCCATGTAGAAGTTGTTACAATAGTCAAATAGTACAGTACTCAGACCATGAGTTGACTAAGGCATGACTGACTGACAAACCCAGGAAGACACAAAGATCATGTTAAGAAGATTAAATGAGGAAATGCTACCCTGTTCCAAGATCAAAGATGTAATATCCTCAGATTTGAATGGTCCAAACACCCTCAGCCAAATAGCCTTGGAAGAATTGACTTAAAGACTCAAAAATAGCATTGCTTAAAAACTATGCCTATAAAACAGATTTGAGAGACCTTTTTATTGAAATACTTAAGTTGTTCACTTCATTCATTTTGTCGTGTCAAATAAAATTACATTCTTCAGCGGCAGTAAAAAATCAACATGTAATTGGGATGTACCATTCACAAAGTTCATCAGAATATTCATAAACATGCATGTATGCACGCATACACACTTCTTAAGAAACAATTTAGGTAATATGATTATATATATTTCATAAATGAACTATTACTGATAAAGAATGCATGCCGAGTGATGTACACACTTAGTCTCCGATAATATATTATTTCTATAACCTTTAATATGCCCTTATCAGAAGTAGTACCATATTAATAAATTCCCAGTGACATTTTAAGCTCAGACAACAGAATAAATTGTAATAACTATGAGGCTGATAAACTAAATTTGACAGCATGTAGGCATTCAGCAAGGCAATATTTTGTTTTGGCTGGATCTCTGATTCGCTAATGCTGCAGAATAGAGTTCTTTGTGGTTTGATTGCTACATGATCACATTCTAGACCCGGGATGGCGAACCTATGGCACGCGTGCAGAGGTGGCACACAGAGCCATTTTTCAGGGCACACGAGGCATTGCCCTGTCAGCTGGCCAGCGTGCATGCGCGCGCTGGCCAGCTAAGTTCAGCCTTTTTTAAAGCCATTTTTCGCCCTCCCCAGACTCCAGAGGCTTTATAGGAGCCTGGGGAAGGTGAAAAGAGCCTCCCCGGAGGCCCTCCGAAGGCTTCAGGAGCTTCCCTGAAGCTCCAGAGTGCAAAAAGACGGCCCTATGGGCAAACAGAAAGTTCGCAAACGGAGTTCTGTTTTGCTCATAGGGTCGGTTTAAGCCCTCCGGAGGCTTCAGGGACCTTCAGGAGGCTTCCCTGAAGCCTCCGGAGGACTTAAAAGGACCCTACGAGCAAATCGGGAGTGACTTCCAGTTTGCTCGGATGGTCCGTTTAAGCCCTTCAGAGACTTTAGGGACCTTCAAAAGTCATTGCCGGTTTGCTTTTAGGGTCCTTTTTTGTCCTCCAGAGGTTTCAGGGAAGCCTCCTGAAGGTTCCTGAAGCTTCCAGAGGGCTTAAACCGACCCTACGAGCAAACTGGAAGTGACTTCCGGTTTGCTTTTAGGGTCATTTTTTGCCCTTCGGAGGCTTCAGGGAAGCCTCCTGAAAGTCCATGAACCCTCCGGAGGGCCTCCAGGGGGAGGCTGTTTTCGCCCTCCCCAGGCTCCTATAAAGCCTCTGGAGCCTGGGAAGGGCCAAAAAAGCATGGTAAAATGGGGGAGAATGCCTCATGCATGCATGCGCACTGGGGGGGGGGTCGCGTGTTGCATTATGGATACGGCACATCCATGCACAACCCCCCTTATGGCACGCAAGCCAAAAAAGTTTTGCCATCGCAAAACTTCTTAGTCTAAGAACCCTTCTTAGTCTTTGGATGTTTGAGACAATGGTCATTTTTAAATAGAATTTCTAGTACTTATGTTACTGTACCCCAAATGAGTAAATGTTTATAATTGATTTGCTATCTGTATGAGGGCTACGTATTTTCTTTTGTCAAAGAAAACATCAAGTTTTTGTCATATCACAATCAAGGACAGCAGCACTTTTCTCATTCTTCCCTATTTTTGACATATAAATCTTAAACAAATCTCTTCTCTTGAGTAGAAAGAAGCAAAAATAGGTCAGTAACAACCGGGATGAGCATTAATGCTATACCTCCTACTGGTTATTCTTCTCTCCCGTAATTACAAGGATCAATCTTACTAGTTGTTACATATTTCTTGCTTTCCAAACTACCATTCTATTAATGTGATTCAAGCTATGCAAAATTTCCTGTTCCAACCTTTTTGCTCAATAAAGGAGAATACGGACAAAAGTAGCTCAAGAGAATAATGACAAAGAAGGTACTTGTGCATTATTCACTCCTCTGCAGCTACATTCCAATGTCTCATCATGCAAGTGTGGTATATTAACTTATTGATACATGCATATCTTTAGACATGATGTTTGATAAGGTTTTCTTCAAAATATAACACTACATAACCAGTGATTTGGTATCCTCTCTGCATAACTATCATTCATTGCTATCTGCTGGTGCTATGCTAAAAATAGAAAAAAATGTTAAACTTATCTCATAAGTGTTTCAAATGCACATTTCTCCTGTAATGTGACATTATTATTATAATTTGTCACATAATCAACCAGTTTAGACTGGA